TCCTGCAGCGCAGCGCCGACGACCGGGAGGTCATCATCTTTGACCACATGAGGATGGGGGCCTCAGCCAACGACACCGGCCGGGGAAACGCGCCCCTCACCATCCCGCTGATGGCCAAGAGCACGGCAGACCTCATAAGGGCGCTCAAGGTGCGCACCGCCGGGCCAGACCCCCTTTTCAAGGCCCGAGTGCAGCAAGAGCAGCAGGGAGACCAGGGGGGGTCGCTGGGCCGGTGGCTGGGCAGCTGGCAGTCTCTGCGGGCCGCCCCATGCCTGCGCATGTGGGGGACAAGCTTGCGCATAGTGCTCTGTCCGCTCGCCTCCCCTGTGCTGCGCGACAATCGACTGCCGCCCAGCTGCATGCAAAGCACACGCGCACACAATACACTAGTTATATACCACCCCTCCCCTACAGATCGGCACCCCTGACGTGTACGGCTGGTCCCTTGGCGGTGCAGTGGTCACGGCCATGGCCGCCCTGCACGGCAGCAGCTTCCGCTACGGTGTCATCATCAACGGCTTCGCAGGCGGCAGGGGCAGCTACATGATGCCAGGGCAGAGCGTGGAGCCGTTCTTGGCGGTCAAGGGGGACGTGAATAAGGTGCGTGTGTGGGGGTTGAGGGTCTGCGTTGTTTGTATGTGCATTAATTTTCTTTGTGTGTCCTTGTGTCTTGGATCGGAGAGGTGTGCATGTGGTGATTTGTGACTTCAAGGAAATAGTAAATACAGGGGAGTTTCTAGAGACAATTAAAGCAAAGGGCTCCTCCTGCTCCGCCATTGGGTATCCCGCAGTAAAACCCCAGCCGCTCAGCGCAACCCAACCCAGCCAACCCAGATCCCCCTTACCGACCCCGTCCGCGTCCCCGCCCAACCCCTCACTCCGCCGCCAGTACCTGGATTTGCTCTTCCCCACCGGCGCCGACGACCCGGGCGCGTGCGCGCTGTTCGCCACCTGGAACAGCTTCTACAGCTCAAACTTCTCAAAGCTGGCTGCTCCCATCAGCGAAAAGGCGCGCGGCCCGAGTTTTGGCACTCCGCCTCGCCGCGCCCGCGGTCGCGGGCTTTGCCGTGTCTGCTGTCTTCTCGGCCCGCGCACCGCTGCGTCGACCGGCGCGCGATGGCCGCCGCTGGGTTTACCCCCGCCTGTGCGCGCACCGCACGATGATGGACCAAGAGCATCCCCCAGCTGCGCGCTTGCTTTCACCTGCCCGCCTGTCCCCCCACCTGCCTTGCCAATCGTAATGAGCACCCGAGCCCCTCGCTCGCCTCATCGTGCGACCATCGCGGCCGCAATCACCCCCACCCGACCACGGCCCGCAGGCCGTCCGGGAGCAGTATGCGGCGGTGGAGCGCTTTTTCGCCGACGACTCAGTGCTGGCCGCGCTCCCCTCGGTCCGCAACCGCCTGCTCGTCTTCGCGGGCACGCAGGACCGACTGGTGCCGGTCCGCAACGCCGCCGTCATCGCCGGCCCCGTTCCCGGGTCGTGGAGCCTGCGATTTGCGCGGGAGGGCCACGGGCTGCCGTTCTCGTCGCCGCGGGCGGTGATCTAGTGAGCGGCGGCCGCCCCCGGGGGCGCGCGGGGCGGTGCGCGCGTTTGATGGCAGTGGTCGTTTCGGGGGACGGCTTTCGTGAGGGTGGTGGAGAAGCTGGGGCACGCCTTGGAGCTGCACGCAGCTTCGTAGGCAGGGTGGCAACGGTCAGACGAGTAGCCTGGATTTTATCGTGTTCAACCAGACCTCTTGTCCTCCGCCCGCGCGGATGCCTGCTGATCACATCACTGCTGACACCCTGTCTGCACCCCTTCCCCTTCCACACCCTCTCGCACCACGTCCCCTGATGATGACATCATCCACGCTCGCTGCTGACATCACTCCCAGCATGATGGCCGAGTTCTGGAATTTCGCAGACCCCCTCAACGACGCTGACGTCAGCTTTATGTCATACGGCGTCCACCCGACGGTGGCCAAGGCGCCGGCCGTCCAGGCCCCGGCCGCGGCGGCCCTGGCACCCGCGTCTGCCCTGACGGTGGCCGCGGCCAAGCCCGGTGCGCCGGCGAAAGCAAAGCCAGCGGCGAAGCCACCGCCTGCGGCAGCAGCGGCGGGCGCAGCGGTGGCCGCGGCGCCCCCGAAGGGGCGGCTGCTGCTGGCCCAACCAACTTGATAGGCAGTGGCCCCTGGGTCAAACGAATGCCTTCCTAGCGTTGACTGTCGGGACGGGCGGGTTGCGTAGGGCTGCTCCCTTCGATACAAGATCACAAATGCTTATTGGTTTGTGTTGTGCTGCTATTGATGACTCGTGATTGCTGTCCGCTTGGATTGTGTTGCCTGCCATTGCCTGTGTGATATTCTGGTGTTTGTTGTGCAATCAGTGCAAAAGCCTTGCACAAGCCTTGCACATGCCAATCATGGTTGGTGAAGGTGTCACCCGGGACAACAAAAGCGTCATTTCAGATTGAACTCCACCGCTGGCGTGCACCAGCACTGGTGCGCTAGCTCATAAAACCTCGATCCTCAAAATAACTCAAAAGAAGTACAGGCAGATCAGAGCCGCACACACGCCTGCTCGACATCACTAGACGGCGCTCACGTACCGGTCAACCACCAGATCACAACCTAGATCACAGCTGAGTCAGCACGCCCTGCAGCAGGCGTTTTTTGATCGCCCTGTAGCGCACCGCGACCTCCTTCACGCCGGCCGTCTCCTCCCGGATTGCGGCTATCTCCGCCTCGGCCGCCGCCAGCCGCGCCGCCGCCGCCGACGCCTCGGCCGCCGCAGCCGCTGCCGCCTGCGCTGCGGCCTCGGCGGCCGCGGCGTCTGCG